GGCACTGACCATCACCTATCCAGACAGCACCCCACAGGACGGCACTGACCATCACCTATCCAGACAGCACCCCACGAGGACGGCACTGACCATCACCTATCCAGACAGCACCCCATGAGGACGGCACTAACCATCACCTATCCAGACAGCACCCCACAGGACGGCACTGACCATCACCTATCCAGACAGCACCCCACAGGACGACACTGACCATCACCTATCCAGACAGCACCCCACAGGACGGCACTGACCATCCACCTATCCAGACAGCACCCCACAGCAAATCATCAGTCCTGGCTCAACAGGCAACAGAGAACAAGAAGGAGACCTGCCTGGCACAACAGGTCCCCAGGGCTTTGTCCTGAGCCCCCTCACCCTGCACACCTCCTGCAGGGACACCATGCACGCCCGTGACCTTAAGCAGTCAACTGCTCACGGCAACTCCCATCCGTACAGGGCCAGCCTGCAGCAGGCACCAGCCCAGTCTTGAATGGCTCACAGCCTGCTCAGCAACACCCCCTCCCCAATTTGCATGTCACATGGGTAGGCCCCATGCTCCTTGCTCATTGTAGCGCATGAGTCTCTGCCCTGAAACCTGTTCTCCACCCTCATGTCACCTTCCCAGCTCAGTCAATCCACCCAGTTGCCCGGAACCTGGGAGTTGCCCTTGACACCCAGCTCATCAGAAATCAAGGCTCCTGCTTTCAGAGTAGCACCTGTGCCCACCCAGTACCACATGTCCCCACCTGGAATGCTACCATCCCGCCCGCCCGCCTCATTGACTCCTCATCTGGACAACAGTAACGACCTTCCCAGGCCCCCAGGCCTTGGCCCTCCAGGCGGCAGCCCCACCATAATTTCTACAGTGAAAGAGCTTGCCTCTCCTTTGAGCAGCCCCTTGAACCAAACAGAAGGTCCTGAGGTCTCATCGTGACCCTCTCCAAACTTATCTCCCTGCTTCCTTGGTCTGCCAAGCCACTGGGCCTTTGCCGACCAGTGACTGGCCACAGCCTTCTGTTCTCAGGGCCTGTGCACCAGCTGCTCTTCTGTGGCCTGCCTTCTCTCTCTCTCTCTCTCTCTCTCTCTCTCTCTCTCTCTCTCTCTCTCTCTCTCTCCTTATTTATTTCATATGGGTGGGGAAATGTGGGTGTGTCGTGGCAAGCTAGCAAAAGTCAAAGGCGCCTGCAGGAAGGCGTTCCCTACCTCCATCAGGTAGGTCCCAGGGATCAAGCTCAGGCTCGGCAGCAGGCACCCTCACTGCTGAGCCAAACAGTCAGCCTTCTGCCCTTTCTGTCTCTTCTGTTGTGTTGGAGATGGAACCCAGGACTTGTACGTGCACATCAGGTAAGCCTTCTCCACTGAGTTGGATTCCCCAGCCCTTAGCCCTGGCCGTCCTGGAACTCTGTGTAGCCCTGGCTGTCCTAGAACTCTGTGTAGCCCTGGTTGTCCTGGAACTTGCTCTGTAGACCAGGCTAACCTCAAACTCAGAGACCAGCCTGCCTCTGCTCCCCAAGTACCGGGACTAGAGGGGTGAGCCACCACGCCCAGATGTACTTGAATTCCTAATCTTCGTGCCTCAGACTCCCAAGTGTTCAACTTCTCTCACTTCCTTTTGTGGCTTCCTCCTTCACCCGACTCCACATCACCAGCATCAGCTGCTTGATAAAGCACCTCTGACTACCATAGTGCCCTGCAGACAGCCCCATAATCTCACGTTCTGGCCGTGAGTTTCCTGGGTATGTGGCAAGCTGCTGGGACAAATGCTCCAAGTCCAGGGCTGGGTGCAAGCCAAGTGTTCACTGTCCTGATGGTGGGGGCTCCAGGGCCCCCCAGAGAGCAGGGCTGAAGCAGGCATGCCCAGCTTCCCTTAGGGTAGATCCCAATGTATGAGCCGAGCGTACCATGCCAGAGCTGCTGGGCCAAGACAGTGCAACTGGAACAGCCCTAACACTAATGTAATAAAGGAGACTCCCGATCCAAGAGAATGACCGTGTGAGCAGGAGGTGGTCCCCAAGGGCCCCTCTGAGACTAGACCAGCTGGATAGCCCTGAATAAGTCAAGTCTCTCCCTGGCATCAATGTCGCTGCTAACAATTACTAAGAGCTAAGTGGCGAGTGTCCATGTCCATGTCCCTCCAACTGGACCCTGGCCTAAGGAGTACCACATGCATGTGCCCACCCTCTGCCTGGCCACTGATCTCTAAAGCAGGCAGAGGGTGGGAGAGTGAGGCTGGGACTACTAGTGTGGATGACAGGAGGTGACAAAATGGGACCCCAGACAGACCCAGGGTCTGCAGCTGACTCCAGGATGCTTTTCTAGTTCCTAGGCACGGCACCAGGTAAACAAGTGACATTGGTTTTAGGTCAGTAAGAGAGGGGAAGGAAGCCCCTCTACTTCAGGACTGGTCAGTGAGCCAAAGAGCCAGTGCCTTTCCCTGCCCAGAAAACAGTGAAGCTGGGCTGCCAGGGTCAACCAATGCAGGGCCAGGCTCTTCTCTACCATGGTCTTAAAGGACGTTTCCACACTGGGCTCTGCCTGCACAGTTCACACAGACACCTGCCTCTCCTAGTCCACCTCTTCTTGGAGTGACTGCCATTTTCCTGGGTCTTTTAGGTTTCTTGGCTAGCCTTACCTCCCCAGCTCCCATTTCCTGTCAAGACTCTGTTGTGGGGCTGTTGTGGGATGTCTTTCTGTACACTGTGAATATGGGTCGCTCTGACTGGTTGATAAATAAAGCTGTTTGGCCAATGGCAAGGCAGAATAAGGTTAGGCAGGACATTCAAACTGAAGAGATGGGAGAAGAAAGGAGAGACGCTAGCCCACTGCCCAAGAAGCAACAAGATGCCAGCAGACCGGTAATGCCATGCCCATGTGGCAACATATAGATTAACAAAAATGAGCTGAGTTAAGGTATAAGAGCTAGCTAGCAAGAAGCCTGACCTATAGGCCATACAGTGTGCAAATAATATAAGCCTCTGTGTGTTTACTTGGGACCAATGGCTGCGGCACACAGACAGGAGAGATTCGTCCCGACAGTGGGTCTGAGCAGGACGGGAGAAACTATGGCTACATGGGGCTGGTCTTTAATCCTAGCAATGGGAGGCAGAGGCAGTGGGATCTGAGTTCGAGGCCAGCCTGGTCTACAGAGCGAGTTCCAGGACAGCCAGGGTTACATAGAGAAACCCTGTCTCAAAACAAAACAAAAGACTCCCTGGTCCTTGTCTCCTTCTCCCTGTACCTGAGGCCACAGATACTAGTGCACACCTGGTGGACTAAGGTGACCTTCAGTTGGGCCTCCCTGTATGTGACACCCACATATTTCCATTCACAGGACCTCAGCCAGAATGTGTGGAGGGTCACAGAACTCCAATAGAGTTTCCTCTTCCTAAGTCTGCTCCTGAGCCAGAAACTCAAGGGGGAGTCCCTCCTGCCAGCCATGCAGGAAGCCAGGAAGCTCAGTCTGTCCTCTGCCTCCCTCAGTCACCCTGAGGCCATCAGCCAACCTTTCCCTAGAATCTCTTACAGACAGCCCCTGGTCCCATCCCATAGGCAACAGCAATGATACCAACTCCTGCCAGCACGCACACTCGTCTCCTGGGTCACACATCTCCCCACGCCACCCCGTATTTCAGGACAGGAAAGTTCCCTGGGTACCACCCCCACTTCACCTTCTTCCACCTTCGCTGGGTTCTCTAGGTGACCTGGCTCCTGGCACACTCCTCTGAGCCTCCCTCCAGCCCTTAGTGAGGGGGTCTCCCCCAGCATACTCCCCCCACCCAAGTCTCTCTCTACTCCAGACTCCCACACGCCTCCTGTCTCAGCCTCCTAGACATGCTAAACCCACCCTGCTCAGTGTCTAAACTCTGTGGGCTGACAGGAGCGCTCCTGTCATTGAGGAGCAATTAGCACTTTCCCTGTGGTCATCAACCCCAAGAGGACAGGACCAGGCGAGCTGGCTCCCTCACTTAAGTCCTCAGAAGCTCCACAGACCCTCAGGAGCTGGAGGCTGTGTGTCTGTAAACTCCAGTGCTCTCTGGCCTACAGTTCTCCCCTCCTGACTCATCTTACAGCTTGGGGAAGTTAAGGTGACTCTCCTGAAGCCAAACGCATGCAACATGTGTAGGAATCCACTGTGTGGGAATTCAGAGTCTCACATTTTCAAAGTTTATCCTTTCCAGGTACCACCCCTGGAGGCATCCCTTCTACAGGTTCCATAACCATGGACTGAACCAACCAGGGATCAAAAAATTCAGAAAACAAACCCTGCATCTGTACTAAGGGGCATAGACTTTTTTCCTCGGCATTCCATAAACAACCCACTGTAACAACTATTTACATGGCATTACATAGTATGAGGCAGCAAATGCCATCCAGAGATGACTTATAGAGCATGGGAGGATTACGTCAGCTGCATGCAGATACTAATTTGCTTTATAAAAGGGACTTGAGTGTCCATGGATGTCTGGTACCCATGCGGGCTTCTGGAGCCATCCCCCTCTAGATATTGAGGGATGTCTGTAACGGCAATAAAACATCAGCCCCCAAGTGCCAGGTTATGACAACCCCAGCGCCACTTTCCTCCACTCTTTCTACAATGACAGGAATGGAGCCTAGGCCCTTCAATTGGTGTGTGTGTGTGTGTGTGTGTGTGTGTGTGTGTGTGTGTGTATGTAGTGTGACTGAGGCTTAAACCAGGTCCTCATGCCTGCTAGGCAAATATTCTACCAATAATCTACATTCCCAGCCCTTGGCCCACATTTTATTTATTTGTTTATTTATTTATTGGTTTTTGTTTTTTTGAGACAGGGTTTCTCTGTGTAGCCCTGGCTGCCCTGGAACTCTCTGTAGACCAGGCTGGCCTTGAACTCAGAGATCTGCCTTCTTCTGTCTCCTGAGTGCTGGAATTAAAGGCATGCGCCGCCACCACCTGGTCACATTTTATTTTGAGAAAGAATTTTAGTAAGTTGCCCAGCTGTCCTTGAACTCACTCTGTAGCCTAGACAAGTCATGAACTCTCCATCCTCCTGTCTCGGCTTCCCAAAGAGCTTGGGCTACAGACCAGTCAGTCTCATCACACCTAGTATAGTACACTCTTTGTTCAGACCATGTCTTTAAACGCCTAGCAGGAGGTTAGGAAAAGTATTAGTCAGCGCCCCTTAGAGACACTGAGTCACAAACACGAGGGACCGGCCCTTCAGCAACAAGCCCTGCCATCAAGAATCAAGGCCAGGTTTGTCTGAACCACTGGCCTCCTTTTTCTCCCTCTTCCCAGCCCAGGGCCTCCAGCCTGGGACTCAAGTTCAGGCCTGGGAGATCAGAGCCCCACCTTCTCTTCTGAATCCCGCCTGTCCCCTCCTGCCCAGCTGTCCCCTCCTGCCCAGCCGTCCCCTCCTGCCCACCTCCTCACCCACTCCCACAGACCCTTGTCTCTCACCTGGATCTTGTGGTGGCTTCTAAATGGTCTTCTTACTCCAAGGCATCCCTCACTAACTCCTCATCCCAGGAAGCCACATGAGTATTTGAACTCTCTAACTCTCCCAAGTTAAGCTAGCCTGCACCCTAGGACTTCCCAGGGCCCTGAGAAAACTGGCTTCTGCTTCCCTCTTGGGCCTCAGCAACCCCTGGCCTTGCTCTTTACCATAAGCCCCGGTGGCCATTCAGGGTCACTGAAGAATGGTTTGGTCAGGATTCCAAACACAGCTTGCTGTGTATTCCACAGCGGGGAGCCCCTCTCTGTTACTCTCCTTTTTAGAGGTTCGGTAACCCCCTCTCCCAGAAGCTCTTCCTGGCATCTAACCTTGAGTCGGCAGGCTAGAGCCTACGGCGGGCTTTTTTCTGGCTCCAAAGGCTTCAGGACAGGTATACGAGGACCTGGAAAGTTCTGTCAGAGCCAGCTTCCATCCAGCCTGGACCTCCCTCCTCAGGCCACCTTACCTTCCCCTTCCTGGTGAGGATCTGCTTATAACACAACCAGCCTTCTCTCCTGATGTCACTGAAGGCTGCATCAGAGAGGTCAGAGGTGGAGTGTCGCTTAGAGGGGGCCTCGGCATCTTCAGAGGTGCCCCAGCTGTCTAGAGACTGCAGGGAGAAAACACAGGGCGACTTAGGGCGGCTCCCACAGTACCGGCATCTCGGGAAGCCCATGGACCACGGGCGGCAGCCACGCAGGCCTGGCGTGCGTCCGTGCTGCACTCTGATGTGCTGGGTGACCTCATGGGCCTTGCTTGTCCTCACTGGACCGTTTGTGTTGAGGTCATGAGACCTCGTGAAGAAGCCAGGAAGAGGAAAGGCTCCGATCTGCCAGCAGAAAGCATGCCTCCCCACGCTGGAAAAGACAACCTGGGCCTTCCCTCAGCTTTACAGCCTTGAAGGAATTGAGGAAACAGGGGAAGCGATTGTGGCAATAAGGAGGCCCGTAAACAGGGGAAGTGGGAACATCAACAAAGACTGAGTAGTGATGGGACAGGCAGTCAGCCCCACCAGCAGTCCATCAGGAAGTGGTGGTGGCAACAGGAATCCAGCCTCAGAGCTGGCACATCCAGGGGGAGGTCAGCGAGCTGAGGAAGTGATGAGGGCAGCCGGGTGGCCATGTCTGTAAGGTGCTAAGCCAACAAGAGACACGTGTGTGCGTGTGCGAGGAAAGTGCACAAACTACCGAAGAGCGACAGGAAACAGCAGCTGGGGGGGGGGGGCTGCGGCTTCAAAGCAAGCCTCAGAGGGCCGCAAAAGCGCAGCAGGGGTACAGTGCTCCTAGAACTCAGGAGGCTGAGGCAGGAAGGTCCCGAGGCCAGCCTGGACCCAAGCCCTGTCTTCAAGGCCTATCAAGACCCTGTCCTAAGAAAACTGAGGGCTGGAGGGACAGCTCAGCAGTTAAGAGCACTGGCTCCTCTTGCAGAGAACCCGGGTTCAGTTCCCACCACCCACATGGCAGCTCACAGCCATGTGACACCAGATCCTGGGGAACAATGCCTTCTTCTGACCTCCACAGCAACAGTCATGAGCACAGAGCACAGACATACACAGGCAAAACATGCATACACATGAAATAATCAACAAATCTAAAAGAAAATTAAGAAAAAGAATCTGGAAAGACCCATACTGTAGGGCTAACAAACACCTACAGGTCCAGCTCCAGGAGGCTCCTATGCCTCTGGTCTCCTCATGCACCTGCGCTCAGCTGCGCGCGCACACACACACACACACACACACACACACACACACACACACGCACACACGCACACACGCACACACGCACACGCACACGCACACACACAAATGCACACATGTGTTTTGCTGGCTTACCCCATCGGTGAAGAAGCTCCGTAGCATCCGTAGGCTGGGTACCCGGTTGGGAAGGCGCCTGGGGAGCAAGGACCCAAGGTGAGGGCTGTGGACGGCCCTCATTCTCATCACCCACCCAAACCCATGGCCCAAACCTAGAAGAGCAGAAGCCACCCCACCCCACCCCAGACAGACAGGGCCTCACCGGAACACTCGGCCCTCATCACGGAAGGTGTTGAGTCCGTCATCACAGGACTTGGAGCGCTCTGTGGTGATGGCCAGCAGGTAGGAGGAGCGCCGGCCTGCCTTGATGCTACCTGAAAAGGGGCCCACACGAGGCCTCAGGATTAGCAAGCAGATTGGGAGCGACCCTTGGAACCCTCCCTTCTGGTCAGGGTCAGGCGTGGGCTCTCCCCTGGGGCCCCAGAAGACCCACAGGGACCGGGCAGCAGAGGAGAGGGTGACACAGGATGGAGATACTCACTGCAATCCTGGGAGTAATGGCGGCTGAGGGCAAAGGTGAAGGTTGGTGAAGACGGGCTTGTGCCCAGGACAGGGGCTGAGTTCATGGCACTGGAGACCACCGCAGAGGCAGGGACATGCTTGGCTTGGAGGTCAATGCTGGGGCTGGTGGGCTCATCTGCCAGCAGAGGACAGAAGGTGTGAAGGACACGAGCTGCCTGAACACCCCAGTCGGATCAGGCTTTGGGCACACACAAGCCGCAAACCCCTCAACCCTTCCTCACGAGGGCATCTCTGGCCACATGCCCACTGCGCGGGGTGCCTCGCCCACCAGACTGTGGCCAGGGAGTATATCCTCTTAGCAGGGCTGAGCTTCCCCTTGCATCAAGGGCACCAAGGAGTGTGACTGAGTCACCCCGCTTGGAGCGAGCTCCTAAAACACAGACAGTAGTCCACCAGTTTGGTGGCTTCTGAGGACAAGCACTATGTCTCCCCATTAGACCACTGGATGGGGGCACCTGACAGTGGCCCAGCTGGATCCCCACTTCAGGCTGCTGATGGCATCACATCATCCTATTTAAACTTCCTCTTCAGTTCCCAGGCTGCTCAGCTCCAAACCCAGCCCCAGGTCTTAGGCCTAACATCATCATCTTGCATTCCAGGCTTTCTCCAAAGCCCCTAACCCAGCCCAGCCCAGCCTCCATCCTCACAGCCCTAACCCTTTTCATGTTCTTTCTGCACTCCCACCCCCAATACAGAGATGAGGCGCCACCCTCCAGGCAAGCCAGGGAGCTGGGGATCCCCTGCTCTGCCTTCCTGCTTCCCACCCCCACTCTATAGCCATCACAGCCTCCTTGGTTCTTAGGGTGAAATCCAAGCTTGGCCTTGGGCCGGAGAGGACCACATGGCCTGGAAGAGCATCCTGCCTCTCCCACTGCAGGCTCAACACATCCCATCTTTCTCTTTGAATACTCTTCCTCAGTCTACCTTGAATCCTTCTTAACCAAGTGTTTTTCCAATATTTCCCAGTGCCGACCACACCCGTTTAGGCCACAGGGCCCTTCCCCATCCCCAGAATCTGTCCCATTTCTTTCTGTCTGACCTCCATCCCCCAGGGAAGCAGAAGCCTAGCACAGTGCCTGACGTAAATACTTGTGGGAGGAATGTAGGACAGGCGGGAAAAAACAAAGACTGAAAGACACAAAGGGTGAGAGGAAGAACAGAGGAAGGAAGGAAGGATGAAAGTTAAGGATGATGAATGAATAGACGGAAGGAATGAAGGAACAAAGGAAGGCAAAAAGAAGAGGAGAAGGGTGAAGGAAGGAAGGAAGGCAGAAGGCAGGCAGGAAAAACTGGCTGGAAGAACGGATAAGTGGGAGAAAGGATGACTGAAGGATGGGCAAACCCAGGAGCCCAGAGTCATGGCACAGTAGACAGGTAGTGGGGACATAAGAGGACAGAGTCTAGGATCCTTAGCCAGCTGCCTGTAACACCACTCACCAATGAAGGGAATGGAAGCCAACGAGTCTTCTGTAGCGGCCAAAGGGGCCACCTTCCGGCCTGGGCGCTCCCCTCTGGGCTCCGGCTCTGGGGACTCATCACCAAAGCCAAGGTTCATCTGCCTTGCCGGGGTCAGCTGGACCTTGCGACCTGTTGGAGGCTTCTGCCTCAGGACCACCTCATCACGGTGATCCTCTGTGGGAGGCTCCAGGGTTCGGCTGCTAGGTTCTGGCCGGACGACTCTAGGTGGTTCAGAGGCCTCTGGTGGGAACGGTGCAGGAGACTGGGCCAAGTTGAAGGTAGGGAGTCCCCCAAAAGGTGAGTCCCGGAAGGAGAGAGCATGCAGGAGACCAGTCCGGCGCTGGAATGATGGGCTATAGCTCCGATATCCGATGTACCCAATGTCATCCAGGCCCTGCAGGCCAGACGGGGGAGGGGCCTGGGACCCTTGAAGGTCCCGAGAAGGGCAAGCAGAGGTTCGGGCAGACGGCCGCTGGGAAGCCCAACCACAGCGTTCAAGGCGAGGCGACACCAGCGCTCCAGGCCCCAGGGCTTCGGCAGAGCGGGTAGCCCGGCTCAGGTAATCGTCTGAGCGAGCTCGGTGCCAGCCCTCCTGGCCCAGCTGGCTCAAGGCATCCTGGGAGGTGGAGCAGGGCCATGGGTGGTGGGCAGTCACATCCTCCAACCGGTCCTGGGAGGCACTCCGGGCCCGGGGTGGCATAGCTGGGCACCGTCTCTCCCCCGCCCTGCGGGGTATCTGATTTGACAGCCAGTGTGACAGAGCCTGCTGGCACTCCAGTCTGCTGGGGAGCACCCGGCTACCGGGCTCTGGGAAGGCACGCGGCGTCCGGGACTCTGAAGGGTGGTGGGCAAAGGCACCAGGGCTTGGGCGGGGCTGGCTCATCCCCAAAGAAGAGTTGTCCAGTTGGGCACGGGTGGCAGATGGGACACGGGACCCTGGGTCACTCCAGGCCGCGGGACTCCGGGGATCCGTGGGCAGTGCTAAGATGGGCTCAGGCACCATAGTGGCCCAGGCAGAGGCCCGGGTCGGCGGGGCATAGGACTTCCGTGGGTAGCAGAGTGGAGGTGGTTCTGGGATGCTGCGCGCCTCTCCAGAATACGGCTCGTTGCCCTTCAGGTAGGCATCCTGGGAGTAGGCCTGACCGGAAACAAGAGGCATAGAACCGTGACCAGACTGAACTCAGAACAGAAATGAGACAACCCTAGGATGCCAAAGTCCTCAGAAGGGAATGGAAGGGAGACATCCTTAAGTAGGGTCATCCTGAGTGGATGAGTATATGCTCCAAGGAGAGTCCTGAGGGAGGACAAAGACTCTCTCTCTCTCTCTCTCTCTCTCTCTCTCTCTCTCTCTCTCTCTCTCTCTCTCTCTCTTTCTCTCAAGAAATAGCCAGATTTCTCTAAGATTTATAACAAGGACATCCTTTAGCCACAAACATTCCAACAGCTGTTTGCTAGGGGCCTCCCCCATCCTGTCCTCGGCCGCCTACTGTTCCTTTATGTCCAGCGATGCCCACAGCCCCTGGAGGACACTGGGAAATGGGCAGAAATCTGTCAAAGTGGAAGAAGACAGTAGAAAGCTGGCTAAGGGGTGTGTCCAAGGAGGGGTGGGCAGAGGGTGGGCAGCAGCTGGAAGAACCCACTGCCCCTTTAATACAGGGTGGTGTGAGCTGGGCCCCAGGGCTTGAGCCTTGGGATGAACATGACCACTTCTTGCTTCCCAGTAGCCAGCTTAGAGAAGGGGCTGGACTGGCTAAGGGGCCTTGGGCCACCTCCGGCCACCCCCAGGCCTGGAATTTGGCACAGGCTGCTAAAGCTGACGCTGCATTGCTGAGGAGGGACAGGGCTGGCGCCCAGGCTCAGCCTAAAAAGGAGGCAGCCCCCCAGGGACAGCAGTCCTTGTGTCCCTGGCCCAGCCCAGCGCTAGCTGAGCTGACGGGGACTGTCTCAGGATGAAGAAGCAAAGGGTGGAAGGGTGAGCCCAGACACACACACACTACACCACATCACAGAGACGGCAAGATACACACCCTGACACACACATACAGCACACACAATGAAATACACAAACAACTACCCCTCCAGTCCCAAACACAAACATCATGTGACAAGGACCAGCTAACCACACCCCCGCACACTCGGCCCCTCCAGCCTGGCATACTGGGCCAGCAACACATACCTCTCCCTCCTGCCATCCTGCCGGCTCCCGGGGCTCCCAGCATCACGGTGGTGGGGGCAGCATCCCGCGCCTGCTACCCTGCTGCCTCTCACCGCAGCCCCTGCCCTGCTGATCTGGGTCCCTCAGTCCCCTCAGTCAGCCCTCCCTGAAGCTCCCCCTCTTCCCCACCCGGCTCTCTGTCGGCTGCCTGGCGGTAGGAGGAGGGAGGATGGGTGTGGAGGGGACTTGCCGCGTCGGTGGTGGCGTCAGCAGCTGCCGCCGCCCGATTGGCCTCCAGCCTTGGCTCCCAACCACAGGAATGCCTGGGCCCCACCCTCAGGCTGGCTGGAGATGGCGGGGTAGTGGAAGCTCCCAGATGTTGACATCTGGGGCTGGCAGCCCACTTGGGTCTAAGTCTGGCAGAGTTCAAGGCTGCTGCCCTTGCCACCCCTTGGATCTGAGAGCTGGACTGAGCCCGGGTACCCCAGGGCCATGTCCTGCTGCTCTCTCATAAGTGGCCTCGCCTCAAGTCTGGCACACAGGCAAACGCTTTAAGACTTGGGGTGAGCCATCCACATCTCTGAGCCTCCATTCTCTCCTCTTCATCTCCAGGAAGAGCAAGGGGACATCTGAGGTCAGGAATGGAGGTTCCCAGGGAGGCATCATGCCAAGTGTGGCCCTGTCATTACAGTGACAGAGCCACAGCCAGAGCCAGCGCAGCAGCGCCGAGCCTCTGGGGCTTGGCCCTCAGCCATCCTCTGAGGGGCAGTGACCTAAGGAACAGGCAAGCTGGCGTCTGCATAGGCTTCAGGAGACCAAGACCAGGGCACTAGGCAACAGGGAGCGTTCCAGGCTCCAGGCGCAGGGCTTTGGCTTTTACTTCACACAGCACATGTGGGATGTGCCTTTTGGGGGGCGGCACCCTCCCTATCATGTTCTGAGTGTGCTGAGGCGCTGGGGGCGATGGGCTCAGAATTTATATCCCCATGTGTCTGACTTTGGGGTCCGGTGCTATCACTGAGCACGGGCGCCTGAGAGGGGCTGCAGCGTGCTGTGACGGTTCTGGGCTGCACTGTGACAGCACGCAGTGTGTGTTTATGTCACGGCAGCACAGAATCCAGATGTGTGCAGTGTTCGTGTTACAAGACCGAGGTGCGAGTGAGGCTGCTGCTGTGAGATCTCGCTGTGTGTTACACAGGTGTTGTGGTGCACTGGCCTGGAGAGTGAGCCGTGGTGACAGAAACAGAGAGAGCATCTGTCAGCCTGGGCCTGCAATGCTGTGTCTTCCATGGAGCTGAGTCATAGAGTGCTAGGCAAGGGTGAGTGTCCTGATCTATACTGAGTGGCATCTGTGACTGAGGGATGTGTTGAAAGGTGGTGCTGGGTGTGTGCATGTATGGACACATCCACAGAGCCATGTTCCCTCAGGCCAAGTGGGTAGGGGGTGCTGGGAGCAGGCATCTCTCACAGGAGCAGACAAGAACATGCCAGGCTGGCAGGGCCCGCTGGGCCACCCTTTCAGATACCCTGGCAGGAATCCTGCCTACCAAGGCCAGCAGCACCTCCTGCCTCCCTAGCACAGAGCAGCCTGGAGTGAGGCAACAAGCAGCCCCAGCCCAGGGATGGGCCTGGGAGCCCCAGTTGAGCAACAAAAGGCAATTCCCTCCTCTTTTCTCAAAACCACAGGGGCCCAGAAGACCGTGCTGAGCCCAGGCCCTCCATGCAGACCGAGGGACTCACCAGCTGGAGGATGTCCTCATCCTTGGGCATGATGGAGAGCTCCAGGGTGTCATCACTGCAGAGACAGGGAGAGAGTCAAGCCACAGGTGACAGGGTCTGGGGGAGAGGGATCCAGTTGCAGGGCCCAGGTTGGGGGAGGGGAGTCTGCATGCTACCCTGGAAAGAAGGTCGACTCCTCACCTGTTCTGGATCAGCCCTATGACCTGGGAGTATGTCTTCCCAATGACGCTCTCCCCGTTCACCTTCACCAGCCGATCTCCTAGGGACAAGGAGTGGGGCCACATGTCAGAGTCCAAAGCAGAGGGTGGAGGGTACCCCTGCACCAAGCATGAACGACAGTGAGAGGAGAGGAACTTCCTCAGCGTCTGGATTCAAGAACCCCAACCCAGTTAGAAGGAAAGGGAGCCCCAGAGGAGTGTGTTAAACCACTGGGCAGGCTTACCTGTGCGAAGCCCCGCCCTGTGGGCGGGGCCACCATCTTTCACATTCTTCACAAAGATGGTGTCCATGGGCTCCAGGCGGTGCCGAGGGGAGGGTCCTGGTGGGCATCAGCCAGGTTAGCTGGGGGTGGCTGTTGAAGGCCACACCCATGCACAGCTACACATACAGGACACACACTCAGAGGATGATCACATACAGACACAAGCATGCAATGACCCACACTTCCACAGGACCTATGCCCACAGCCATGAGCTGAGTCCCTATCCTGTGCTAGAAGCCAGGCTACACAGGATGTGTGGACACATCCTTGCCCTTCCAGAGTTCACCATCAAGCAGACGTCACATACAATTCACAAGACAATGGAAGGGTGCCATATGGGAGGCCCCTACGGCGCCCACAAGTCAGTTCAGTAGGGAAAGACGTTTGCATGGTCTGAATTCAATCCCTGAAACCCACATAAAGGCCGGGCAGTGGTGGCACATGCCTTTAATCCCAGCACTCAGGAGGCTGAGGCAGGTGGATCTCTGTGAGTTCGAAGCCAGCCTGGTCTACAGCTAGTTCCAGGACAGACACCAAAACTACACAGACAAACCCTGTCTCGAAAAAAAAAAACAAAAACAAAAAACGACAACAAAAAAAAAAGGTGGAAGGAGAGAGCGAACTCCACCAAGTCGTCCTCTGATCTCTGAACACTCACTCCGCATGGTACACTCTGGCATTAACCGAGCACACACACTGATAATGTTCAGCCCTTATCGGGGCTGGAGAGGTTAAGAGCATTGGCTGCTCTTGCACAGGGCCTGAGTTCAGTTCCCAGCACCCACGTGGCAGCTCACAACTGCCTGTAACTCTAGTTCCAGGGGATCTGATGACCTCTTCTAACATACTCAGGCTCCTGCACACACATGGTGCAGAAACATACTTACACCCAGGCACACACAAAGGTAAAATATTTTTTTAAGTGCACCTATCAAGTCTTGAAGATGCAAGCTGTGGGAGACCTCACATGTATGGAGAGATGACATCACACAGGACCAGAAAGATACCCAATATGTCTCCTGCCCTTCTTCCTTCTCCAGGGTCAGGGGCTCCAGGCAGAAGCCTGAGAGTCCTGGGATGGGCACAGGATGGATACTAACTCCGTCACGTGCCAACAAGACTCCCCCACTGGAGCCTGTGCTGGGACAGTGGCACGAGAACCCAGGAGAATCATGTCCCCATGGCTGCCCACAGACAGAGGCAGGAAAGCTGCCTATTTGGGGAGTTCAACTTTAAATACTTGGGGAGCTTGAGAGCCAGCAAAGGACCCTTAAGGTAGCAAAGGTAGGCCGGGCTGTGGTGGCACACCCTTTTAATCCCACAATCGGGAACTCTCTGAGTTGAGGCCAACCTGGTCTACAGGGTGAGCTCCAGGACAGCCAAGGCTGCACAGAGAAACCCTGTCTCGAAAACAAACAAACAAAAAGACAGCAAAGGTGACAATTAGGCGAGCTAGGCTCACTTTAAGACACGCCTTAGGGCCTCACTATTCCTTCCGGGACCTCACTGTCCACTCACAAGATGAACCCATGCTTAGTATGCCCCAACCCTGATCCACAGGCCCTGTTGCCTTAGCCTAGACTTTTTTTCTGGGAGAAAGTAGTGGGAGGGGTGGGACCAGATGGGGATCTGTCACCCAGAGTACTCAGAATCAGATGGCTGTGGGAGGGACAGGCCCATAGGAAGACACCGTGAGAGGGAAAAAACGGGAGGGAGAACAGAATGAGGAGGAGATGCCTGGAGCCAGCTTAGCCAGGAACAGAGAGGAGAAAGACTAGACGGGGACAAGAAGAGGGTGGGGCCCACTGGGTGCCGGAGGTGCCCCACCCCAGCTCCACCCCCTTACCTCCTCCTCGGCCTCGGCCTCCATTCTCTTCCTCCTGCAGGGAACAGAGAGATGGGTGTGGCACCTGTGCAGCCCCAGCCGCAGCAGCAGCATGCTGCACCCGAGCAGCCCTGCGGAGCCAGCCCCACTTCAACCCTTGTCTCCTTCCAACTAGCCAACAGCAAGGAGACGGGAGAGTTGTCAGAGCAGTCCCGGGTCCAAACAAGTACCCCAGCAATACATACACCCCATTCTCAGACCTGTCAATCCCACCACACCAGCATCCCAGGCTTCCAAGAACATCCATTCTACCAGGGATCCAGGCCCTCTTCCCCTAGGGAGGCTGCAGCCCAGGGGAGGAGGTCCCCATCACACAGGCAGAGGAGCCAGGAGGACAAAGATAAGGAGCCTGAAAGTGTAAACAGGGCTATCTCTCTCGAAGAATGGGCTGGGAGGTCCGATTAGCAAGGAAGAAGACGGGCCAGGAAAAGTTCTCTGATAAGCAGAAGTGGGTGTCAGGCAAGGAGCAGGACTCTTGCAGCTACCTGCAGGGGTGAGGGTCAGCTGCTGGGAGGGCGGGGTCCATCTTGGGGAAGGTATTGGCATTGGGGAAGAACCAGAAGAAGGACAGAGACAGGCTGAGCCAGCGACTATAACATCTCAGAGTTGACAGGACCTTAAGGGTCATACTGCTGTGTCCCGTTCCCCCCCCACCCCCCCACCCCGGTTCAGCAGCAGGACCAGGACCCAAACTCAGGACTCACTGGTGGCCCAGTCAGGTCAAGGTGGGCCAGGAAAGTGGCGGAGTGCTGTTGGAGCCCGGGCCTCTGCCCAGCTCCCCGTGGGAGGTGCATGCCCACTGATAGGAGCTGACAGCATGGGCAGCGGGTGGCAGAGGCAGACAGATGCATTTAGACAGCTCAGCTCACTGCAGGCTCCCAGGCAGAGCACTCTGGCCTCCTACTGCCTCAGGAGGAGAGCTTCTCTCAGGCCGGGGCAGGTTCTAGAAAGGGAGGGAGCCATCCTGGCTTGTCTTGCCCCAGAGTTGGCCAGTGGCCCACAAGAAAGAGAGGCCACCATGCTAGACCTCGGTCTCTGTCACAGCCCCTTCTCCACAGTGTCCTGAGAGAAGGTGGCAGGAGCTAGAAAGGAGGAAAGGAAGGAGGAGGGCTTCCAGGAGAGACGGGGTTGGTGCCCTTGGTCACTTGACGCTTAGGCATGACATGATGGTCCTGGTGTCAAAGTGTGAAAGCCATAAAGCATGTGACAGACATGTACATACACCACAAACCTACAGACACCACACACACACACACACACACACACACACACAGGCCACACACACGATACACACAGACATACAGAGAAACCTAATGCTTTGGTGTGGGGCAGGTGGGGTCAAGGTACCCAAGCGATAATCCCCCAACAGTTGTGCAGGCTGATCCAGCCTTGGGGGCAGGAGAGAGAGGGGTTCATAACTTTAATAGAAATCTGTCTCCTCTGCAGGAAGAGAAGTTGGGAACCTGATTGCTGCCTGGTTATCCGCCTGTCTTCCACACTCTTTGCTTCAGGGACCCTCTCTCCAGCTGGTGCCCTGTTTGGATCTATGATTCAGAGAGCCTCGGGCGTCTGTATTAGGGCTGGAAAGCTCTTAGGGATCAAGGCCCTCAGGAGAACTCAGTCACAGAGGGGTGAGATGGCACTAAATCCACAATGACCAAATCCACAACACAGGATTGAGTTAGGATTAAGAGTCGGGGCCCTAAACCCCTCCCCCAGGACTCTTTCCAGGAAATAAGGGGGAGGTGTCCCTGACCCCTCAGCCAGGGGATGGAAAGAGCTGACCCAGGTCAAGATCCAGTGGACAAGCGAACAAGGAGCCCGTTACCCAAAATGATCATTCCCTTTCCAGAGACTGCACGCGTGTGCGAGTGTGTGTATGTGTGTGTGTCTGTGTGTCTGTGTGTGTCTGTATGTCTGTGTGTCTGTGTGTGTGTGTGTATGTCTGTGTGTGTGTCTGTGTGTCTGTGTGTGTGTCTGTATGTCTGTGTGTGTGTCTGTGTGTGTGTGTCTGTATGTCTGTGTGTGTGTCTGTGTGTGTATGTCTGTGTGTGTGTGTCTCTGTGTGTGTCTGTATGTCTGTGTGTGTGTCTGTGTGTGTATGTCTGTGTGTGTGTGTCTCTGTGTGTGTCTGTATGTCTGTGTGTGTGTCTATATGTCTCTGTGTGTCTGTGTCTGTGTGTGTGTGTGTCTGTGTGTGTGTTGCACATGCACATGCAGCCCTGCACGTACTGACTTCTCACCTCTGCATCCCCTTGTCAAGACCCATTCCAGAAAAGTTAGGGACTTTGTCCACAGTCAGGAGTCCTAGGCACAGCGGGCGCTGCGTCCCTACAGCTCTCCTCTTACACAGTTCAGAAGGGAGCCAGGCTGGACGCCTCAAGGGACTCCTCTGACAGGCCACTAGGATAGGCCAACCAGCTTTTCTCTCCCATCAAGCTCCCCGCGCGCCCCCCCATCCCCTCTGCCCCTACAGAGTGGCCGGGACTGGCAGGCTGGACGACGACGACGAAGACGACGACGACGTACCTTCAGGCTGCAGTGAATGGCTGACTCGGGCGGGTACACGATGAAGTGACGCAGGGTGAAGCCAAAGCCGTCCTGCAGACTTTTGCGCAGCAGCAGTGTCCTCGGCCCCTGCCAGGGGAGGGGGCGCCGAGAAGAGCACCCATCTCGTGGGCCCAGGGGAAGCTGCAGGAGCACAGGGAGACAGACGGATGAACATCGTACAGCCTACGGTATAGCCTATGCGCATGGCTCCGCACCTGCCTCCAGCTGCCCAGGAGCCGAGGACCTGACGGGGACCACCAACAGCCATGGCCACGGCCACTGCCACAGCCACTGCCACAGCCACTGCCACAGCGTCCAGGTCCCTCCTGGGCCCTGACCCTGTCACCCAACCCTTCCTCTCTCACTCTTGGAAGCCTGACAGCTTCTTCCCTCTGAGTTTCTCCTTCAGTCTCCTCATGGCCTCCCTGGAAACTGAGCCAGTACACACTTACTGTGTGCCAGACACTGCACACACAGCTTTTCTGCACAGGAAGTTGTGCATAAAACTATTGCACATCCTCACACATACACTGACATGCATGAACACACTCAAACATACATACAACATATGGAGACATACCACAAATAGGAACACCAACAAATGTGTACACATAAGCTAGACAGTGGTGGCGCACGCCTTTAATCCCAGCACTCAGGAGGCAGAGGCAGGCGGATCTCTGAGTTCAAGGCCAGCCTGGGCTACAGAGTGAGTTTCAGGATAGCCAAGGCTATATGGAGAAACTCTGTCCCGAAAAACCAAAAATAAACAAATAAATAAATGATAAAATAAAAAATAATAATAAATGTGCATACAGGCAGACTCACAGAACCATATGTATGCACCATGTAGGCACACTGGCATGAGCACAGGTACACATAACCAGTCTTGCATACATGCAGAGCACAGAGCCACATGTCTGCACAGACTGGCACAAAAATGCACTCTCCAACAGCGTGGGATCAAAAGCCCCAACTGGACACCAGGCCACCAAAGGGACTTGCTGAGGTTGCAGAGCTTAGCCCAGAGGCCAGGCGGGTTCACCGGAAAGGCAGATGGCAGATACTGCCCTCTGTCCATCCTGCCAGAATGCTTGGGATTCCCCTGGATGTCATGGCAGTTTATCCAAAGACAAAGAGTTGAGGGGGCCAAGTAGGACCATATCTGGAGCAGGAGGCAAGAGACGACAGACAGAGAAGACTGTCTTGAGTGTCTTTGGACACGCAGATAAACAGCCAGTAACGAGTATGAGATAAATTGTATGCAGAGAGGCTGACAGAAGAGACTGGTGCCGGGCGACAGGCCGAGAGAAAAGCAAGAAGCCTTCAGCAAAGCCTCAGACCCCCCGAGCCATTGGGCAGCCTGAGCTAGCGTTTGCCTCTGATCCAAAGCCCTCAGGATGCCAAAAGCTTCCCCTCAGCTCTCCTTCCACAGGCCTCCACCCTTGCTCCTCCTTGGCCCCCGCAGGAACCTGAAGAGATGCAAGGCCCAGGTGGTATGGACCGTGGAAGTCCATCAGACCTGCTGTAAGGAGCGCCTTCGCACGGGAAGCTGCCCTTCGGCTGGCTGGAGAAAGCTCACAAACACCTGACCGCACAGGGATGCTAAGAGGCCCCGCTGAGAACCTGTCCACCCCTGCTCACCTAGTTAACAGAGGGAGAGCATGTGAGCATGCTCAACCTGGAGGCTTAGCTGCCATCCAGCAGGTTTAGGAGAGAGCGCAGATTCTCAAATCCCAAATAAATAAAAGAAAAATGAGATCGACACACTACGTTTACGGACTGTAGTCTCAGGGAACAGAACCAGGTGGAAGACAGAAAACAGCTGAATGAAGCTGAATGAAGAAAAGGAGACATTCCACAGACTGAAAAACTATAAGGGTTAGGTCATGAGCTCTCCATTCCCAGAAGGGTCCAAGCAAGACCTAGACTACTCCTGGTCCCAGTCCTCAGCAGGGACCCAATGATGTCCCCTCAGCCCCATCTACTTGTGGTTACACCCTGGCCTCTTCCATGAGCCCTACATTCATAGGGTTCAAGGGGCCTGGAGAACATTCACTGGAAATTCCTTGAGATTTGAACACACCCCTCCCTGATTTCCCTGATAGGAAAGATGATCTCATGGGCCCCCAGTGCCCCTCCCACAGAACCCCTGTTCCCCTCTAGTGCGGGCTGCCCTCCTTCCCACTCCCACCCAGGCTCAGAGCTGAGGGTGTTTGCAGGGCCCATTGTTTTGCTGGTGCTCTGGATTAAGGTTTAAGCCACCAGCTGCCCCAGTGATGTGAAGCGGCTGGGACAGGTCCCCACATGTTCCCCTCCCCTCCCCCTACACACACACATCCTGCCAGCTGCCTGGGGGTGCCACTCCCTGAGGGGACCTGCCTGTAATCCAGGACAGTGGGTATGTCTTCCTCCCACTGGTCTCTCCTCAGCCAGAGCAACAGCTCCCCCTTCTCACTTATCCAAGCCTCCCCACTTCCTCTGTCTTTCCTTCCAGGTCCAGTCTCTTACTTCTTCCAATTAGTCTCTTGAGAATGTCAGTACACCACCACCACCACCCCCCCCCCGCGCGCCACACACACACACACACACACACACACACACACCCCTATCAGAAGAGGTGACTCCACAGACCCAGTCAGGGCTGGCTGCTCCCCTGTGGGAAGTCCTTTCAGACTTAGCCTCAATCCCTCATGTTACCTTTTATGCGGGTTTCTCCCCTCTGACAACACTGAGTCTCGCTTTCCTCTTGAGGGCGAGAGGTGCAAGATAGAGTTAGATAGATAGATAGATAGATAGAGAGAGAGAGAGAGAGAGAGAGAGAGAGATCCAGCATTGAGAGCTCAGCTCCCCTAACTGTCTCTCTGACACAGGCCCACAGACAGGGCACAGAGAGGGGCCACAAACATTGTTCATTAAGCCCTCCTGGCTGGAATCTATTTGTAATCACTCTCACCCTCTTGTCTGAAAACAAAGAGACATCCAGAAACACCAACTGTTGTTTAAAAAAGGGAGGGGGGGCAACAGCCCAGGGAACACATCAGGCAGAGGTGGCCACTCGATGGATTGGTCACATCAGTATGATCCCCCACCTCCACCCCCGCCCCAGCCTACCCTAGCATAAAGAGGTCATTGCAGAGAACACAGTATTGAGGCTGGGCATGGCGCCCACTGTGACTCACGCCTACCAGCCCGGCAGATCCCGAACATCAGAAATACTGCCCCCAGCTCGGCCACTGCCCGCCCTGGAAATCACCCGCTGCCTGCTGGGGGCCATTCTGTCACCTCAGCTTCCTCTGGCCACTAAGAAACCCTTATGTGCCTCTGTGTCAGCGTCTCTGCTGGTAGGAAAGAAGACAGGAAGACAGAGTGGCACCCACTGTTCGGGTTAGTGACCCTATGCCCAGCTCTTACTGGGTCTCTGCCAGCCTAGATTCCTAGATATGCCAGCGACTCCTCCAGTCATCAGCCCCCATCCCATCCTTCCACTGCCTATAAAGCAGGAGTACTGAGTCCACAGGTACCATTACCCAGACTCCAGGTTCCATCCATTGCCCTCGGGGAAAACTCCCACACAAACGCTGCCACCTCACCCTGACTCTCAACCTTCTCACGCACACACTCCCCACTGCAAGGATGTCCGCCTGGGAATGGAGGACGCTCTGAGCTCGAGAGGGGGTAACCCGAGCGCTCACAGCCCCTGACATCCAACTCCCGCCCGGCTCCAAAGCTGTTTGTTGCTCACCCTGGCCGGACGCAGCCCGGGTGCTCGGCAGTCGCTGTGGCTCAGACAGGGCAGCCAGAGGCAGCGCGGCTCCGGGGCGCTGCAGTCCACGCCGACGGCGCGCTCCCAGCGCCAGCCCCC